CATGGCGGCAAATTTAGAGGGCGGCAAATTTTGCTATTCTTTTAAAATGCGGTATGAAAAAAAAAATAATCGGATTCAGAGGAAAAATCACAAACGAGAAAAGGCGCAAAATCCCTCATTTCCTGAGCGTGTAGTAATTTCTAATTTTGTCGTCTTTGGGTGATATAAGGGACAGCACCATTAATTGGTCGAGTTAAGAGAGAAACCAAACACGCAATTTGGTCCAGAACGGCGCGGCGCAGGGCGCAATGATGATGAGGACTCGAGATGAAAAGGAGAAGCCCTCGGCGCGGTGGTTGGCATGAAACATATTAGCGCCTACAAGACTACATGAGTACTCCCACGCATTGCGTCAAACACAGTGCGGGCTGCGCGCTGCGGCCAGCAGCGGTCGACTTGAAACGCACAGCGCCTACAAGACCGTAGGAATACTTCACGCATTGCGCCAAAGACAGTGCGATTAGCGCGGCGCTGCTGCGGAGGAAGTTGAAATTATTATACCACATTTATGTTTGCTCTATCATAATTTTTTCGGTAATTTCTTTTAAATGGAAGGCATTGTCCACCTAGAGATACGTTTACGGAACTGAACTCTCGCGCAAAGTTCCGTGAACTTTTGCTAGTAGTGTTGACAGGGCTTTGCAAAAAATGTGTCCAACACTAGTAAACGCGTCTTATGAACCCCTCCCCCTCCGGGACGTTCACTTGATGGTTTTTATTGATATTTCATAACGAAAGAGAAGGGGGCGGCAAAATACAGGCGGCCCATGGGCGGCAAGTAGGTAAATCTGGCCCTGCCCCCCCCCCGGTCCTCGAGAGAATCGATACGTTCTTCTAATAGTTTAATCGTGGGAAAAAAGCAATTTTGCGAACCTGCTGAATCCACCGCTGTTTCAAGACGTGGCTCCTTCGCACTGGAGGCTCAGCGAACTCGCTTGTTGTATTGTCAATTGGACTATATTTTGCAATTTGGAACTATAAATTCGAGCCCGGTTTAAAAACAGCGTATGTACTATTAGTTTATTCCCTATGCACAAAAGTGTTTTTCCAAAAAAGCCAGAATATATAGTTCCAAATTGCAAAATGCAGTCCAATTCATCTTTTTGCTCTTTGACTAGTCTTCCTGCAACATCTGCGTGAAAAAAATGGATATCAAAAGTAAGAACATGAAATACTTTTTTCTAAACTAGTTGCGAGGGCCGGGCAGAGGGAGGGGGTTCAATCATCCGCTCCATCCGGTTTTGCTCGTGACCAAATCGGTCGATCACCCACTTCATCGCCTTGTAATACGGTCATTTTCCCCGGCCATGAAAGTGCGGTGCCGTTCCCACGTGCGTCTCCGTTTAAAACCACCCGTTTATTACGGGCGAGTGAGAAGTCAAGGAGGTGTCTGTTTTCAGCGCCTCAAGTGTCCCTAACTTATTGGAGGTGAGGAGGGGAGTATAAGTGGGAACGAGAATTCTGCCTCGGCCGATGGAGTCTGAATGGCCCGTAAAATAAAAAAAAAAAAAAAAATATCGAGAACATCTGGCAGGGTTTGGCGTCCTCGGTTTTGACGCCGTTTAAGTATAGTCCGATTTTATGACCGGGACTAGGCACCAGAATGATCGTTTTGTCAACCCCACTAGTTGCCATTTCGTTAAATCGTGGTATCTCTATTTTCTCGTGAGCCCCAAAAATCATGGGGTTGAATGGAAAACAGGGCTCACGTGGGATTTGAGATACGCCCTTACGTCAGAGTGACGACGAAATTGCATACACTCGTGACACAGGAAATTGCGACAATAAGAACAGTCCACGTAGACACCATTTTCGGGGAAAAAGAGCGATTTTTGTCGTGTTGGATCGTAAAACCAGGTTTTGATATTTCTAAGAAAAACTCTGCTTAGTGCCCCCAAAAATAAATTCCAATCGCTATAGTGAAACAAAGGGGAGCATCAATCGCAGGCTGAAACGAAACTTATATACCCCTCTCTTGCTCAGCAATAAACCCAGTGTCACAACTAAAATACTGAAACTTTTTGCCTCCCTTAATTTAAAAATTTGAATTTTTGTATATGCACCCTTCTCTCATACTGCCGTCTAAGGAAGAACGCCGTATAAGCCTTCAGGCGTTGCCAAACTTCTTCTGGAAAATCAATAATTTTCAGGACAATGTTTGGATATTTTTCTGTCAATTTCTTAGATAATTTTGTTTGTAATTTGATCTAACGTGTCTGAAAATTACAAGGAAAAATATTCATAATTTTCCTCATAAATTAACATTTTAGCCGATGAAATTTGGCAACTCTCGAATGTTTATACGGCGTTCTTCCGTAGCACAGCAGCATAGTCTTTGTAGAGACATCAACAGCCTGAATGTCTCTAAAAAAATTAACTAACTAACTAAAATCATAAGAGTATAGCGCTTAACGCACAACGCCTGAGGCGTGAAGCAGATTTTTCGTTAATTGGTGGGTGATTAAGAAAAAATTAACGTTAGTTTCTACTTGGACAGGAAAAAGTGAGAACAAGTTGGCTTATAAAATAAAGTGTGAGTAAAATGATTTTTTAATTCCTAAGAGAAACCTTATGATGAGACAATCCTCCAATAAGAGTTTTATGTTTTAGCTCGAGTTCAAAGGTCGTTTTAGCAAAACAGCATAGCAAAGTTGGCATATTATTTTCAGCCATTGAAAGCACAATTCCTTTGAAGTTTTTCGGTTAGTAAACATTTTGAATCAATTCTTTTCTATCTTTGAGGGCACAATTTCATCAGTTGATGTTACTTTGAGATGAAGATTGTTGCTGATACTGTACGATCGAGCGATCAATCGTGATACAGCGTCGCAAAGTTTAAATACGTCCAATTCTAGCTGAAGCGCACTTAAGCGCATTCATGACTGCAAAAATGTTAACGGCCAGCGTGTATGGAGGCTATCTCCATTTAAGTCTTCCGTCAAATTCTTACGGCGCAATGATACAACTATTTGAACTCTCCGGTATGCGTGAGGTATCACGCCGCATTTGAAGGCGTTTTCAAAACAGCCAAGTTCCGATACCCGGATTATCGTTGTGCATAGTTCATATTCTTTTGTTATACTCCGTACCACTCGTTTATTTTTAATCCTCGTAGAAAAACCACCCATTTGCTAAGTACAATTCTAGCTGGAGCGCGCTTAAGCTATGCATTCACCAGCGCAAAAATGTCAAGGAAAATCGACACGCCCAGCGTGCATGGAGGCTATTTCCATTTAAATCTTCCGTCACATTCTTACGGCGCAATGATACAACTATTTGAACTCTCCGGAATGCGTGAGGTATCATGTCGCATTTGAAGGCGTTTTAAAATCAGCCAAGTTCCGTTATCGGAATAATCGTTTTGCATAGTACATATTATTTTGTTTCCATTTCTAACCACTTGTTTAATTATAATCCTCCCTGAAAACCACCCATTTGTAAATACAATTCTAGCTGAAGCGCACTTAAGCGCATTCATGACTGCAAAAATGTTAACGGAAATCGAAAACGCCAGCGTGCATGAAGGCTATTTCAATTGCAGTCTTCCGTCGCATTTCTAAGGCGCAATGATACAACTATTTGAACTCTCCGGAATGTGTGAGGTATCACGCCGCATTGGAAGGCGTTTTCAAATCAGCCAAGTTCCGATACCCGGATTATCGTTCTGCATAGTTCAAATTCTTTTGTTATATTCCGTGCCACTTGTTTATTTTTAATCCTCCCTGAAAACCAGCCATTTGTAAATACAATTCTAGCTGAAGCGCACTTAAGCGCATTCATGACTGCGAATATTTCAGAGGAAATCGACAAGCCCAGCGTGCATGGAGGCAGACCCGCCAAAAGGGGGGCTACTGGGTCCCTGGTACCGGGGCCCGGGCCCCGGAGGGAGCCCGTGTTACCCGTGAAAAACCACTACGAATTCACATGCAACCTTTGTTTCGTACGAAAAAGTGAAAAATTTACCCTAAAAATTTCGCAAAAGGTGAATAGATTTTCAGAAACACGCTGGTGTACTGTAGAATTCTCATTAAATTTTCAAAGAAGTATACCTCTTGGAAAATTTCTATCTATTTTCAAGATTTTCAGTGCAGAGGGATATTTTTAGTAACTGCGTTTCATTTTCTTCCGTCGTCAGATGCTAAGGGTCTCCAGTCTGGGCATCCTCGACTTCAATGGCTCATGGCTCAACTCCCTTGCCATAGACAAACGAATGGGGAGTCCAGGGGGCCTGACCCTCATAGAACAGAAAATANAAAAAAAAAAAAATTTCCAGATGTTTTGAATGCAACAATTCGCAAGTATTTTGTGCTGAAAGTATAAAAAAAAAAACATAATTATTCCGCAGAAATTGATGGAAAAATTCTTTGTGGAAGCTTCAAAATGCGTCCGATTAGTCGTATAAATTCTAAAATTTCTCGGGGGATGCCCCTCGGACCCCCTCCCTCTCCGTGCTTGGGGCCCAGACCTTAAAACTGGTACCAGGGCCCGAGATGGGATTTGGCGGGCCTGTTAGAGATACGTATAGAGGCAGGAATCATTCAGGAAATAACGTTGCATTTGATGCAGAGGTCGATTTTCGATTACTGTATAGAATAAAACTTAGTTTTCCAAGAAGAATTCTACTATCACATTCCTATAATTTTTTCAATGTTTCGGTTAAGAAGAATAACAGAGCAGGGACTATCGTCGTTTGATAGGCTACATAGTAAAAATCTGCCGGGATCATCTACTCAATCGATGATGCGATAAATCGCACGCCAGTTCGGCAACGTCAAGATTCGCGATTTATCCTGAAGAACCTTTTCGAGATTTTCGCTCTCGGCGATGCGGCGCGGCGCCGGCTATGGAAGCCGGCGCCAGATTCCAAGCTCGCGTTCGCGCATTGGCTCTTTCCTCTCCTCTTCCCCCTCCAAGACTCCGCCCACTTCCCCCACTCACGCGGACCTCCCGACTCCCCCGGGAATCAGCTCCCTGTTCCGCATACCGCCGCAGCGCGTAACCCCGCCATTCGTTCATTCGTTCAGTGATCAGTTCGCGAGTCCCACGGTAGTATTTCACGGCCTGTCCAGTCGCCTGCACATCCGTTATTTACCGCTTTTACTTCGGACTTAGTCGCGCTCGAAAGTTTTTCTGTTGAATCTCTGCCCCATCGTTTCGAGTCCTCGATTGCGTTGTACCTATTCCATCTCCCACGCTAACTTTCGTATTTTCACGGTTCTACTATCATGGAAGGGCATCTCCTCGGCAGTCCAATCACAGAGGCTTCGGTTTTGCTAATTTTAGCCGTTGTGTCGCACGTACTCTACGAACTTTTATTCAGTGGCCCTCCGTCGTCTGGCAGACGTGTTAAAGGTGTCCTTGTGATCATGAGAATTTTCCTTTTCCTTCTTGCCATCGCATTAATTCTGGAGATGCTGCTGCTTGTTATGAATTGGCGAATTTTGACGTTGATCTTTGTTTTCGTGACCGTCGACTATTTAACGGATCAGGCGTTGGGCGATGTTTGGATTTGGGTCATACTTTTCATTCTCGGGCTGATGTTTTTGCCGGCTGCTCGCCTGATACCTAGCTTTGCTGCAGCGACTAGGCGCAATACGTCGAAGAAGAGCAATCAAGACTTCCTGTTCCACCACTTTGGCAGATCTCCGTCGGCGTAGGAGCTTCGTCAACACGGTAAGATATTTTCATCGAATCTCAATCTTATGACCTAAGTGCCAAACCTCATATCTCTACTGGCGGATTCATAGTTTCCTTCACCATGTCATCTTTCGTTGAGATGAGAGGCATTCTACTGTATCGATAATCTGACGATCTCCTGGATCTGTTAATCACTTGTAAAGATAACTTCAACATCCACCTCTTGAGTATGTCCGGTCCTGCGTTAGAAATTGAAATCTGAGCAGATTCGTAGAGACTGATTGCCATCGTGATTATGTGGTTTTGCACTGAAGTCATCGCTTCATACATTCTGGTTGATTGTGCGATTTTGAAACTTCCTCAATTGCCTTGTGATCACTAGCGATTGTCATTTCTGGTGCTTTTTATCGTCGCTTTTGTAATCTCCAATATTCTGAGTGGCAGTTCTGATTATCTCCTAGGACGGAATTCTGTAGGGAGCGTCACTACCCCAACGATTGCAACTGATCAGTCCCACATGAAAGAATTTTTCGGGCGAGAGCCTACTTCGCATCAATATGAGGTACTATACATGTGCCACAATATTGACTCTCAGGTAACTAAATGATCGCATATTTCGGTCTGCCACTTCGTAGACTACTTGCTGAATTTCTTTAGTTTTTAGATGAGTAATTATTATATACGTCAGGTTCTGAGAACTTCCTTGATGTCCCTTCTTTGAGGGAAGAATAATTTTTGCAAGGTTTAGGACTCCCAATTTGCGTGGCTTTCTTTACCTACTCTAATGGGAAACGGGAGCTTAGATTCGCTTACGTAGCATATGAGTACATATTTGGTCCGGTAGTTTCATCGGTGATACCCACGTAATTCCATTGTCAACGCGAGTCTGCTAGAGGTGAACTTGGCACTCCGTTTTCAAGCAAGTATGCGTCAAAAGAGGGCGTCAAGTATGCGTAAAATTTTGGGGGGCACTATGGGGGGTGGAAGTCGAAACCTGTGCACCTCGATGTCTTTTGAACGAATCAAGATTTTAAGGGCCAGTTTGGACGACCAATCGTCTTAAATTGCCTAGTTTTAGATGCTAAGGTTGGAATCTCAAAATTACATTTTAAATCTGTTATCTAACGGCCTTTTTTTCAGTTTTCGAGGACAAACAATTTCTTCTAAACATGTTTAACTGAAGGACCACTTTTTTGCTTTTGAACCATAACCAGATTTTTAAATTGCTCGTCTTTTTTACCGCATCCAACGAGTGGTCTCTTAAGCTGGGTTCCCGAGTCAAGAGCGATTGATGTTTCGACCGATTTTCGCGCGCTCTAGTATAGTTCCAAAGCCGGATTTGAGTGTTAGTGATCGGACTTCATATCCTTAATCGGGTTAAATACATCTTTAGGTATTCTTGGGGGTTACTGAGTTCATACATTACATATACTTCTTAAAATTCACTTTTTCTCGCAGCGCTACTTGAGAGGCCCACCGAGTGCCGACCGACCGGCCGCTCAGTGGGTCTCTCAAGCAGCTCTACGGTAAACAAAGTGAAATTTCGGAAGTATCTGTAATTTTTAACTCGGTGACCCTCAAGATTATGTTTACATGTATTTTGCACGTTGAGTCGGATTCATTAACACCCCAATCCGGCTTTGGAACCATATTTTGTCACGCGAAAATCGGTCGGCGCGCGTTGAGCGGAAACTTCTAGAGTCGCTCATAACTCGGGAACCGTTCGGTTCCCTAGCTTGTTGAACCGCTTGTTGGATGCGAAAAAGACGATCGAATTAAAAAAAACTGGTTTCGGTTCAAATTAGAAAATGTGATCTTTCAGTCTAGCATGTCTTAAAGAAATTGTTTTCCTTCGAAAAGGAAGGAAGCACATAAGTTAACTTGGAATTGTAATTTCGGATTTTGGACCTTTCAAATTTTAAAGTATGCTATTTTAGACGATTTTTCGTCCCAAACGGGTCCTATTATCTTGTTTCGTTCGAAAGATATCGAGGTTCACAGGCCTTGACTTACCCCCCTTAGCGCCCTCAAAATTTTTTGGGGAAAGAAGCGCTCCAGTGTTAGTAGGTAGTGATAGACGAAGTTGGAATAAGTCTTCGGGGGGAGGGGGCGAAAAATGTCGCGTGGCATGTTTTTCCATGTATTTTTGTCTCCTGGATTCGAATATGACCTTGGTTTCTCTTCACCATGCACCAGTTTTCCGGAAAATCACAATTCCCGAAAAATCCATTTTAAGTGGAAATTTTCAATTTCCTGGAAAATCGGTGGGTGTAGGAGAAAAACCAAGGTCATTTTCGGACTCAGCATTATAAATTACATACAGATTACCTATCAAATGCCCGGTGTTAATTCGCCGCAGACCTGTAGAATTCAAATTCCGTCGAGCCACCATTTTATGAATTTCACTTTTTCTTAATCATTTGAGCTTTATTCCCTAAATGGCCCTTTGGGGCAGCCAATTTTTCTTGATACTGGATCTCCAGGGATCAGTTAACATTGCTCTTCAAAGGTCTTCTGTAAACACGCGTAAATAGGCAGTTAATAGTCTAATTTTATCACTATTTTTATGGATTTGAGGGAAGTACCTGTAAGTAGGAATACCGCGCCTACAAATGACAATATTTTAAAATGTTATTAGTGAAATATACCCTACTTGATGAGGATTATAAGCTTCCATTATCAGAAATTGTCGTAAATCTATTGGGTGGAAATGCCAACCGCAAACGATTTTTTCCGAGTGAGGTGACATTTCTCGAATGCCGCCTGAGCCACTTTGGGAGGTTGTGTGCGCTAATTTGGGGTTGAAAAATTGAAAACCAATACCCATACCCCAAAATGTAACTCTTTTCGAAGACATCTACGTCAGTGAAGTAACTGTATGTGAGAAACGCCCATGTCCGACATTTTGCAGGTATCGATCCACCGTGCGTCGCACCTAGGTCGTGATCAGGGTGGCATCAAACGTAAGAAAGAATTTAAAGTTTGTAAATTTCAGTGAAATATTTCATGAAATTTCTCGAAGCTGTGAGTTATTGTTCAGGGGCTTGAGTATGCGACCCGCACTTGAACACAAGAACATAGAAGAAAGTCCCAATTCTTAAATTTTGCGAAACATTTGAAGTAACGTACCGGTACCCATTTTTCAATATCCTCCCTAAATTTCTGAAATCTCATGAAATATTTCACGTGAAATCTCAATATTTTATTTCTCATCAATTGTTTTGCCACCCTGGTCTTGACAGCTTGTCGTGGCGATTACTGCCTCACCGCCTCATGGTCTTCGAATATCCGAAGCTCCTTCAATTTTTAGCATGCAACACGGACGTCCTTAGAGCACGAATAATTGCATTAAGCAGTCGCCACAGCTAGAATTGCCCTGCACGCTCGGATATGCAAACTAAACCGTGATAGGACAAGGCCGCATGAATACTTGAGTTTCGTCAAATTTCTTTCGATTTAGGTACTACGAATTTCCCAGCAAACTTACAAGTTCCTTTTCTGTAATTTAGGCACTGGATGCGAGAAGGGCACTTCTCGGTTGCAGTGTTTTAGAATCTCTGTCGCTAATTAATCCCTCGGTAAAGAATTAAATGAGTGATTTTGCGAGAAATCTTTCCATAGAAAATAGAATCGTAAGAAATATTTAGCAAAATTTTCAGTCAAATAGATGCATTCACTTTCCTTGCAATGAATGAACTATTAGAGGAGACTCTGTGAAACACCGCAACTGAGAAGTGCCCTTTTCACATCCAGCGCCTCAATTCCCAGAGGATTTTCGATATAAACCCCGATCTAATGTTCCGGAGGTATTGCACAGAAATTTACGTTTTAGGGCCGAAAATTGGCGGAATCAGTGCTGTAAACACTGCCGTAGTCAGTATTTCTAGTAAGAGGGAGGGTTACTAACGATTTAGTACTTACAACGTCACATTATGATTTTTCGTCACTCCGTTCTTAACTTGATACTCCTGGGAGGGGCTGCGGGTACTGTCACTTGCTCCTTTTGAAGACACCTATTTATGCTTCCTCACCACACATGGTAACTTTTCTCTATTCGTGGCTGATGACAAATAATATGAGCTCCTATTTTGTTACCCTGGCGTTTAGGTCTCCGAGAAATAGTCATCTAACATTACCGAAGGCGCCATGAAATTCTACAGAACGGTTCTTGGTTTTAAGGTTGGGGATTTAACGATTTTCTTCCACAATCTGTCAGTCAGAAACAGGACGAAACTAATTCTTGAAATCAGCGTTCCGTGCCGAACGGTCTGAAAGATTCAGAGTACCGCTGAATTAGTAGTGCACGTGAGAATTCAGCCTTAAATTTCCCTTTTCACCCGCTTCTAATTCAGAGAAATCAAATGTCAGACTCCTGATTATTTTCGGCGTGGTTTCGTGTACATTTGACGATAAAGTGTGTGCATTAATTCTCATTAGCGGATTTATTTTGTCCTTTGCCCAAGAACTTTGTATTATCATTCCGTACTTTGTGAACTTTATCCGGTCCCATATCTCTCTGGCAGCCCTGTTGCGCGTAACTTCGTTCCTTTTACCACTGGTGATCAGTCATGGTTTCTAGCATAGTCAAACTGGCGCGCGATATATGTAGCATTGATTAAGTATATGTCCCTAATCTGCTGATTTTGATTCGTTAGCCAAAAGAAGGACGATATCCCCTCCCACCTGCGCCTGACGAATCAACCCGTACAAGAAAATCGGCGAAATTCAGGGAAATCACACTATAATCCTGATCGGTCCAAGACACAGAATTTAATTCAGTTACAGATATCTGTATCAATTGCAAGGTTTTTCCGAACAGTATCTAGCCTTTCATTTCTTTGAATTTTGCATCCTTTTTGGTTCGGCATGAGTTTCTTGTTTCATGCTCAGGGGTAATCGTCCTTTTATTGGCTTGAAATTAAAAATTAGCCGAGATGTTGGCCTAATCGACGCGATATATCGCACGCCAGTTCGACTATGTCAGAAATCCCAACGGATCACGCTAGTGAGGATGATCGTCTCTTACCCTCCAATGT